CACCTACCTCCATGTACTTAGGGGAGGATTAAATAAACACCTTGAGCCCAGAATCCCTGTTACGAATGGCCAAGTTGTGTAACAAATCCAGATCTGCTTTATTTCCAAGTCTCTGACTCCAGCTGTCTGGCCACCACCACTGCCTCAAGTTGCCATCGAGTTAGTTCTGACTCACAGAGACCCCATGTGTGTCAGAGTACAAATCTGCTTCACAGGGGCTTTTAATGGCTCATTTTTTAGAAGTACATATGTGCGGGCTCGAACCACCTACCTTTCAGTTAGCAGCATAGTGTATTCACCACTTACACCATCGACGGACCCCTAACAAAGCCAAGGAACAGAAAGCATTGGTGCTGGAGTTGGCCCCTAACCCAGGAGATCCATCACCTATCCATCAAATATGCATGTCAAACTTGCTCTTAAATTGTAAACTGCTCTTGAATTTAAATGAGTTGCTGTCTTTAAAAGGTCCAGATTTCCAGCGTATGTTGACAATATACTTTACAGGGCCCATGGACTCACAGGCAACATTTGGTTAGCTTACTGCTCCCACTAGGCTGCACGGGCTTCAGGTCAGCCCTGTTACTGACTTGTGTGAGGCGTTATTGCTAGACATGGGACTACAGATGAAAGGGATGTGGTCTTTGTCTAAAAGCAGCTCAGTAGGGTGCAAACACAGCCAGGGCATCAGCAGGGCAAAGGGGAGGTTCTACTTCCTTCCCATAAGGTGAAAGCAGTGATGGCAGAGAGGATGAAGGGACTCGGGTACTGGATTTGGGGGAAGGAAGCTGTCAAGAGCACTTGGAACTTAGATGCTAACTCCCTACTGTCTGTTTCCACAGGGCCTGGTGGTGGCCGTCCTCTACTGCTTCCTCAATGGAGAGGTGAGTGTCTGTGGGCTGCCCTCTACCCACCAGATTCTACCACCTGGGAAGAGTGGTGGTTAGGGGGACATGAAGAGGGTTGTGGGGTCTGGTTTGAGAAATCTGGGCTTTGCGGCTTAGGCCTGGACACCAGTCTATCTTGCAGCAATGTGTGCTCATTAACTCACAGCTTTTCAGACTGCTGAGCCCTGTGTGACTAAAATGATTTGTGCTCGACTACTAGCAATGATTGTGAGGTTGGCGCAGTACTGGGCAGTGTTTCATTGTCTCGTGCATAAGGTTGCTATGTGTTGGTACTGACTCGACAGCACCTAACAACACTGAGACATGAAGATTTGAGGCTGCCCACTGATACCGCCCAGGACACTGGTACCGCCTCACAATCTGCCTTTGAGTCGAGTCTGCTCCAAATCGTAGCAACCCTGTATTGGGTTTCCAAGGAGCGGTGGTTCAAATTGACCTTGTGGTCGAACATTTATCCTGTAGTGCCAAAGATCACAGCCCCCAAAACACTCTGGGGGACAATTCTACTCTATAACCCCTGAAGGATGAGTCAGAATTGATTTAACGGCAATGAGCTTGGTTTGGTTTGGCTGGGTCCTAGCTTTTATCAGATTCAGCAAAAATTCAGTAGGTCTTGGCTGGGGCCTAAGATTGGATTTTAACAAGCACTCTAGGTAACTCTTGACCAAGTTCTGGAAATGCAAGAGGAAAAGTGCAGCACCCCAATCAGAGGCCAAGCTCTGTAGCTTGCTCCACTGGCAGGGCTTAGGATTCCCAGGTATCAAGTGAGGAGCTCAGACAGGATGCCCATAGCTCAGTCCCAGAGGCCCCTAAATGAATGTGGACTCATTCCCTGGGGGCAGCACACTTCTTTATCCAGGGTCCTCGAACACACATCAGCGCAAGCTGAATACAGTATATCTCTCTGTAAAGGCCGACCCTTGACCTAGTTCACCACATGAGTGGAAATGACCTCTGGTGTTTTCCAAAAATTAAACATTGGTCTAACTTCCAAGGCTTCAGATTGCTACCTCAGCTGAGGATTTTGAAGGAAATTTCCAAAGAGCAATTTTCTGGCTCCCACATACATTCTATGCTAGGGTGATTTCATGGGAATCAGCTGTCCCAGATGAGCGGCAGTTTGTAAAGCAGACCCAGTTCGTTTCCTCAGGACACTATGAAATGAGACCTCAAGTGAAGTGCTCAGGGAACTGTGCCCTCAGTAGTCCAAAATCACCAAACCAGTTGCTGTCGAATGGACTCGTGACTCATGGCAACTCCATATCAGAGAATTACATTCTGTAAAGTTTTCTGTGGTTGTTTTTTCAGAAATAGATCACTAGACCTCTGGGTGGACTTGAACCGCTAACCTTTCAACGTGCATTTGTACCACCCACTGGATACTGGTGTTGGAAATGGTCACTCTGTGTGGTCTGCAGGAGGGGCAGGGCCTGTGCAGAGGCCCCTGGTGGGAATGAGATGTGCTCTGGATGTAGGAACCCTTCCTTCTTAGGCTGATGGCTGTCTCGGGACAGGTGCAGTTGGAGGTTCAGAAGAAGTGGCGTCAGTGGCACCTCCATGAGCTCCCGTTGCGCCCCATGGTGCTCAGCTCCTCCTTCAGCAATGGAACCAGTGGCCTCACCCACAGCACCAAGGCCAGCCCCTCAGAGCAGAGCCGGGGCACCTGCAGGTCCAGTGTAGTCTGAGAGGCATGGACAACGGCCAGACCAAGAGGAGAAGAATGGCCCATGAGGTTACAGAAGGGGCAGGGACAGAAAGGCTGCGACAGTGAGATATGGTCATGCATCTGTCCGTCTGTTTGTCCTTGAGCTGTGACTCACTCAGATCCTTCTTACCAGAGGAAGGGTCCCTGGTTCTCTAGTTTCTTCCGGGAGAAGCTCAGAAGTCCAGGAACCAGAGATACACAGAACCTTTGACCCTAGGAAGATCCTCCCTTGCCAGGCCACACTCACCTGTCCAGAAGCTCTTACTCAGCGAGCCTTTCAAAGCAACAGCTGCCCCAGATCCTGCAGCCTCCTTTTAGGAATCCCAATGAACCTGATGCACGCCCCTTTTCTTGCTGCTCTTTTCCCAGAAGCAGGCACAGTAGGAAATGAGCATGAATCTATTTTGTAGATGCGAACGAGGTTCCCCAGATCCTGTAACTTGCCCAAGTAAGAAGATGACAATTTAGTTCAGGGCCTTTTTATTGTAAATCTTATGCCTGGACTTTCCTTGGTTCCACTCCCAGACACTGAAGGGTAGCAGCCTTTCTCCCTACCCCTGTAAGCTCCCAGGCATCCAGGACTAGAAATTCACTCTGCATTTCCCAAGTCTCAGTTCCCCTGAAAATTGGTGACATCCCCATCCCCATCTACACCAACTAGTGCTCCAAATCAAAACAAAACTGAAACCTGTTCCCATCGAGTCATTTCTACTCCTGGTAACCCCATGTGTCAGTACAACTGCACCCCATAGGGATTTCAGTGACTCTGGTCTTTCAGAAATAGATCATTGGGCCTTTTTCTCAAGGTACCTTGGAGTGAATTCAAGCCCTTAGTTAGTAGCTGAACACTTAACCATGTCTGCATTCTAATGCTGGTGTGGTGCTGTAGGATAAGCACTGGACTGATCATCACAAAGTCGGCAGTTCAAACAAACCATCCGCTCCTCAGGAAAAATATGAGGCTTCCTGTTCCTGTAAAGATTTATAGCATCAGAATTGATATAAATTGGAGTCGACCTGATGGCACTGAATTTGAGTGCTCAGAAGAAAGCAATATGGAGCAAAGCCCAAATAATATTCTGTCCCAAGTGTAGACAAGAAGCATCTTGCTCGTGGGAGCCCCAACTCCAGTACTGGCTTTGGGTAACCCTAGACAAGGGCTGGGCCTTAGCTCCTCAGTTCTTCTACTCATACTTGCAGACAAGAGGGCTGGATCATCCCAGATTCCCATTTTCCAGGACTACGAAGCAGAGTCAGGATGCAGCTTTATTAAGCTCTGTTCTTTGTAAAAACCAATTCTTTCAGACACCTTTCCTGGGTGATCTCTGTGTATCTCAGAATAAGTTTTAAAAATCTCTATGGAGGTAAGCATGGGTACTCAGCCCAGTCTAGGAAGGGGACCTGGGCACACACTAGAAGAAACCCCAGTGGATGCCAGAACTCTCCAAGGTGTGGGGGTGTGGATCACCATAGAATGAAACTGTGAGGACAAAGCCCATGTGGGCAGAGGAAGGGCACAAAGAGGACACGCTGATATGCAAAGATGCAGATCTGCTGACAAGGATAGAAATCTGCACTGGTTCCCAGTCCCCTTGCACCTCACTCATCCCCAAAACGGTGATTAATCATTACACAAAGTCTGCCCACTCCCCATTGACCCTCATAAAAGCCAATGAGTCCAGCAGGTAAACACCTGTGCTTTTGAAAAATAGCCATTTTCTAGGACCAAAATGGCAGCTTGAGGGTGTGAGCCTTGCAAATGAATGGACACACACTCGCCTGAGGAAGGGCTGTGTATTAGAAGTGGGGTGGATTCTTCTGCGGCGCTTGCTCAAGAACTCTTCCTGAAGGACAAAGGAAAGTGATCTTAAGGCTGTTAGAAGCCAAGGGTCCCTAGAAGCAGGAATCAAAACAACTCAAATTCTGAGTGGATTCTAACTCTGCCTCCCTGGTATGAACAAAGGTGGAGCCAGGGAAATGTCCGCCAAGTGATCTGGTACCCCCAGGTCCCCAGCCCAGCACAGAGTCCATGAAACAGGTGTGAACTATACTTGGCTGTGCAGCTGGACTTGGCACCAGTCACCCTGGTCCAAATCTATTCCAGTCCTGGGAGGAAGCATTCAGGCAAAGAGTTTTGAAACATTTGTTTGTTTTTTGTCTCTTAAAATCAGCATCCTGATAACTTGGCTAAGCCTGTGTAGTTGGTAACACAGAGGCACTTCCTGGCCTCAGGCCTCAGGCCTCAGGGCCATTTCTGACCAACCATCCACAACTTGGCTACCAAAAGGGGACAGTTTCAAGGTTACTGTCTCACCAGAGGTCACATTTGGAAAAAGGCCCATTTGACCACACTGTCTTGTAGAATGTCATATTCTCAGAAGGGGGACCTAAAATTTCCTTGGATGGTCCCAGGAGTGTGTGATGCTATTGATGTGAAGACCACTGAGGGCATTCAGGAAGAGGAGGAAGGAGGCGGTGAATTGGCACCAGAACATCAGGGTGAAGCCGAGGAGTGTGATCTGATTCCTGAGGAGGACCATGAAGCTCAGAAGGGCTCCAGAAGAGAGGATGAAAGAGACCAGGAGGAGCACGGAGCCTATGGCCCACTTGTGCAGTGAGTGACGGTCTTCACACACCTGGGACACCATAAGGAGCTCCAAGCCAAAGATGGCAACCACCACAGCCAAGGCGCTCATGCTACGGGCCAGGCCCATGCCTATAGCCAGCCCAGGCACATGGGCCTGACTCAAGTCCCGGACGCAGTGTGGCTCACTCTGGTTGGCAGTAGTGCAGAAGTGCCAAAGCCCAAAGAGGCGGTCCTCAGCCAGGAGCCACTGGCCATCGCAGATGGAGACCGAGGAGAGGACCACAGCCAGGGCAGCACACACGATGATCAAGGTCCGGATAAAGTACTCAAAGAAGGGCCTGTGGGGCTTCCGAGGGGCCAGCAGCCTCTGAGCCTGTAAGACACACAGGAGGCAGACTGTCAGAGGAAGCTACCCACACCCTCCTACCTCTGGGGTGCCCAGGGACTGTGGGAATCAACGTCTCTTCAACATGCTTTCCAATTGCTTAGAGCCATGGTTTTCCTCTGGTCCCATCTCCTCCCCATCTCCTATGGGGAAGCCTCCCTCCACCATCCAGCCTGTCCTCTGACCTCCATTCCAGACCTAGCAACCTTCACTGTCCAGTTATTCATATGGTAATAAAAGTTCCCTGGCCTCTGTGATTCTAACAACCTTGGAAGTAGATTACCAGGCCTTTCTCTCTAATCTTAGTCTGGTAGTTCCACTGAAACCTTTCAGCATCATAACACACAGGCCTCCACTGACAAGGCATTTGAAGTGCATTGGCCAGGATTTGAACCTGAGTCTCCCACCTGGAGAATAAGAATTCTACTACTGATAGCTCTGAAAAGGATCACATTAGAAGGTCCCAGTGGAGTGGGAGAAAGTGTGGAACAAAACTCAAAATTGAAAAAGAGGGCCAGGCATGCTGGTCAGAGGGAGACTGGAGGAGCCAGAGACTGTGGCTCTCAACCACCCTTCAGGTTTGGAGCAGAACTCACCCTTGTGGCCCAATTTGCAGCCAGCTGGTAGGTGGGTATATAGGGGGACAACAACACTCATGAACTAGTGAGGTGTTGGTGTTAAGTGCTGTCAAGTCGATTCCGACCCATAGTGACCCTGTATAGGGTTTCTGAGGAGAAGCTGGTGAGCTTGAACCGCCGACCTTGCAGTTCAAATGGCTTTGCAGTCTGGCGCATTAACCCACAGCACCACTACTCACTACGAATTGTTCAAGATCAAAGGGGCTACGTTTGCCTGGGGACAGAGCTGACAGGATGGGAGGGAGAGGAGAATGGAGATGGGGGTCACACGGAGGAAGTGGGATGGCTGTTGTTGCATGACAAAGATTGAGATGAAACAGGGTGTACGGTTTGTTGAGTGGTCTTCTCTGTACATCTTCACTCCATTCACATTGGAGAGTTAAAAAGATGTAGAAGAAGAATCCTACTACTGAACCATCACTGCCCTCTTATTTTTGTTATTGTTAAGTGCTGCAAGGAACCCAAAATCTAGTGGGCTGGCAAATCCCAGTCATTTCTGAATTTAAAAGCCTGTCTTGGCTGGCTTGTATAACGATGCACATTTCTTTGTAAATCCTGCCAGGATTTGGAGAATAGTATGAAGCACCTAGAAGTAGCCTATCATTAACAAGGTTAATTTCCCTTCCATCTTTCTAGCACTTTCCTTATGCACTTCCAGTTTTATCCTAACCCCCACCCAGCTGATTCTGCACTTTCCACTTTCAGTCCAAGACTTACTTTTATTACCTTGTTTTCTTTGTTACTGGATGATGCCTGTACCTTGCCCTTCAGTCTTGCCCAGCCTGTACCCCACCCATAGCTTGCTGACCAAAATGGCCATTCTAGCAGCAGTGAGGGACCACTGAGGCTTCTCTTCAGCCTCTGCCTCCAGCATCAGCCTCCTAGCACACCTATCTCCTGGCAAACTGGGCTAGGCATCCAGTCTCTCATCTTACAAGTCTGAAAGCAAAAGAATAAATGCTTTAAAGAGTAATACTCTTTACCAAAGGAGCTCTGGTAGCATAGTGGTTAAGAGTCAGGCTGCTAACCTCAAGGTCAGCAGTTGGAAACTACCAGCCATTCCACAGGAGAAAGATGAGGCTTTCTCCTCCTGTAATGATTCACAGTCTCAGAAACCCTAAACAGGGTCGCTATGAGTCTGATTCGACTCCACGGCACACCACCACCACCCTTTACCAGGACCTACAAGCCCTGCATGACTTGACCCTCCTGCCTCCCTCTCCAGCTTCATCGCCCAGTGCCCCTGTCCCCCACTCAGTCAAGCAACCCCCTTTCAACACCAAGTCCCAGTGCCTATCTTTCTCAGACCTCCTATGTCCAAAAGGCTTTTATCTGGCTCCCTTAGCCCTCTCCCTTTCTCAATTCTTCATGTCTCAGCTTAAATGCTCCACCTCAGAGGTCTTGGCTACTCAACCCTGAGCAGGCCCCCTCCTATCGTTCTGTTACCAGTTGTCATGGAGTTGACTCCAACACCCAGTGTGTCAGAATAGAACTGTGCTCCAGAGGGTTTTCAATGACTGGTGTTTGGGAAGATGACTGCCAGGCCTTTCTTCCGAGGCACCTCTGAGTGGACTCTAACTTCCAACCTTTTATTTAACAACGAAGCACATTAACCTTTTCTGGTAGCGTAGTGGTTACAAATCGGGCTGTGAACCTCAGGGTCAGCAGTTGGAAACTACCAGTGGTTCCGTGGGCAAAAGATGAGGCTTTCTGCTCCTGTAAAGATTTACAGCCTCGAAGCCCTGTACAGGGTCACTATGAGTTGAAATCGACTCCACGGCACATAACCACCACCACCACCAAAGAACTCCTCAACTACAACACATACACTGTTACCTTTTGACTCTAGAAATGAGGCTGTCTGGAAAACAGCACTGGTTCCTTCCTAGCCCCAGTGCTGCTGGAGACAGACTGGACTATAAACTCCAGGTCCTCAGACATTGCCTTGGGATCAGAAAGATGATAGCTAAATGTCATTCCATCTCCACCCCCACCCCCACCCTAATCCAGTGCTCCATTTCAACTCTGTGACCACCAATAAAACTCCCAAGGATTAAGTGAGATCAAGTTCAAGTAGATAAAGGTGCTTGGTACATGATCAAAACCAATTTCGTGAGAGCTAGTATTAATTTTATTAGTGGTAATAATAATATACATTGATTGGGAACTTTACTCCTAACCCTCTGTACCACATGCCTTTGTTGCCATTGTCACCTCCAATGAAAACCTACATGTGGGCTCCCCTCAACCAACAGCACTCCCAGTTAGACACCTCAGGGTCCTCCCTCTTCTCCACGTCCCCTACCTTCAACATGACTCATACTTGTCCCCTACCTTCAACATGACTCATACTTGTCCCCCCTCAATGCTCACTCCCTCTGCTCAGGCCTAGATCAGGCCCCCATCATCATTATTAGCGCGAAACCAGTCTGAAATGACTTCAACACTTTTCTAATGAGTGAACCTCCCTTTGATCCTGGAAGCCCTGCTAGTGTGACCCCACATAAGGGTCCTGCCTGAACCATACTGTCTGCTGCTTGGTTGAGCTGAACCACTGGTACGCTATTCTCATTCATTCTCATCCTCTTTCATTCTTTCTCTTCCTGTTTCCTGGTTCCTCACCTTTCCAATGGAGGTAAAGTGCTGATCTCATTTGTCCTTGTGTAATGAATTCGCTATTACAAATGATATACATAGAACAGTCCCTGGCCTAAGGTTTAAAGGCTCAGTAAGTGCTTACTGTTATCAGGCATTCATGGCACCTCTCCCTCTTGGGAAGTCAAAAGGCTCCCCAGCTCAGACTACAGTGCACCCACCAACACATCCTCTCTCTGCATCCACAACATCATTCTCCTTCCCTTGCTACTAGCTTTCTGCCTCCACCCAACAGCAAGTCATGCTTCCCTGCTTAAGTTAATCCTGCGTGCATTTTTACACCTCTTAATTTAGCACTCACATCCAGGGAGTGGAGACACTACACTTGGTGGAGCCTACCCTTCAGCCCCTGCTTGTCCCTTTCTCCCAAAACCTATCACTGAAGGTTGCCAGTTCATGGCGCAAGACTAGGCCCTACAACAAAGATGAGAAACTTGGTGCACCCAACTCCTGCCTAAAAGGTTTTCTTGAGGTAGCCAATGGATGGGCTTCTCTGGTCAATGAAAGTAAAACGGGTAAGGAATTTAGAGCAAAAAGCATCTCAATTCTATAGGCTTCATCTCTGGGCCTTAGTTACCTAGCCTATTAAATGAGCACTGCTGGGTCTACTCCAGCCGTCCAGGGAATCGGAGAACTCAGAAGCCAAGTCAATGGGCTTCTGTAATTAACAGTGTAGCCCTTTCTGACTCAGAACAGGCGAGCTGAGCTGGTGGGATGCCAGCACTTCCCTGAAGCTAACCTGCAGCGTATCAGTCCAGTCACCAACTGCCTTCTCCTTGGAGAGAAGTGGGCAGAGGGAAGGGGCTAGGAATGTGTAGGCTCTTTGCTAACATAAACATCTTGTACCATTCTAAGGAGAAGCCAAATCGGGAATGTAGGTCCGTCCCTGCGCTTGAGACAGACAATTTTCTGGGCCAGTATGGCTCATGACCTGCAACATCTTAATCACTGTCTGAGGAAGGGAACTAGTCTTTCCATCTTCATCGCCAGAAAGTCTTTGTTTTCCAAGCCATTCTGTTACATAAGGCAAATTTCTCTTTGCAAGGGGATTCCGTTCGTCCACACATGCAACTAGTTTCTTTAAAAGCAGGGAGCTCTCCTGCGAGAAACTAACCAACAAAGTTATTGGGTTTTTCGGAACCCCAAAGGGAAACGGAAAAATCCTTCCTATGAGACTTTGGGGGTCTCTGTGTTTGTCAGGCTGCGCCTCCGGTCCCACCTACAGGAGCGGGTAACCCCAAATTGCTTCCTGCCCAATCGCCTTGGGGCTCCGAGGAATCCGACAGGTTTGCACTGGGGGAAGTCGCGGCGGGGACACGCTCACACCTGGCCGATGCTGGGGTTCGCTCTCTCTCGGTCGGATTCCCGGCCCTCTCTCCCGCCGCCACGACGGGGCAGAACCCTGCCCGCCGGCTCTCGGAGCTACCTGTAAGGCGAGGGCCGTCATTGTGCTCCGCGCTTTCCTCGCTGCTCCACCGCCGGCTGCGGCCGCCTGTGCCCGGGCTCCGGACTTCTCTCGGGGGCGGAGCGGGGCGGCTGGAGGGCGGGCGGGGAGAGAAGGGGCAATCCAAGCACAGCAATTAACCCCTGGGCGGGAGCGGCTGGCCCGACCGCCCTCCCGGCTTGGTGGACGCTGAGTCAGCGGGTCAGCCAAGGAACCCCCGGGGAGGGGGCGGCTCGAGGGGGAAGGCGGGCCCGGGGGAGGGGGCGTTGACCCAACACCAGGCTGGGGGAGCTCTCCAGCCCCAAGGGCACTCGGGGAGGGGTTACTGAGCTGACTTTGGAGTCTGCAGTCACTCCCTGGCCCCAGGACCTGGGAGGACAACTTTTCTTGGGGCGCAAATTCCTGGATGGCCCGGTGGAGGAACGTGCGGGCTCAGCAGGCTTCACCACCGCTGTGTGACCTTGGGTTGCTAGTTTAACATTTGTAAACACCCCGGTTAATAAATGAGATAACAATGTAAAAAGTCCGGCTTCTGTGAGACCCTTGTTACGTGTAAAAGGACTGGAACCCAGGATAATCTTGTTTGTGTTCTCCTCCTGGGACACATCCTCTGGGACTATCAAAAAGGCAAATACACCAAAACAAAAGACATTGTTTCTCGAAGCTCCTGGTGTTTGTTTTCCCTGACCAGAACCTCCAAAAGATGACTCACACAAGTCGTCGCCCCAATAGTGGGTGATGGGGAGATCCAAGGTCAGCAGATCCAACTAAGATCCCCTTCCTCAGTTGTGAAAAAGTATGTGTTGGTAAGGGAAGAGAGTTCCTTCTTAAAAGTAAGGCAAGATCCCTTTCTCCTTGACTGCTGTTAAGTGCAGGCCAGTCGGTTGATTTCCAAGGAGTACCTGGTGTGTTTGAACAGCGGACCTGACTGTTTTATTGTTGCGCTGTTGCCCACAAATCCATTTTCATTCATGTCCACCCCATGTGTGCTGAGTAGAACTGCTTCTTAGGGATTTCAAGACAGTGACCTTTCAGAAGCAGACAGCCAAGTCGTTCTTCCATGGAACCTCTGGATGGAACGTTCCTTAGTGCCCAACCACTTCTCCTTTTGCAACATCCAGGAACCCTCTCCATGACTAAATAGAGTAAGTTAAATTATTAGGGTCCTTCAGGCCAGCAGGCAGTTCCCTGGGACTTTACCCAAGGACATTCAAGGAGAAGGGGGGGGGGGGAAGTTCTGTTTGTCTCTGCATGTCAAAACTGGATATTTATCTGATTTCATCACTGCTTCAGAGAGTGAAACCATCTAAACCAGTCCTGGGATCCACACATGGAGACATGGAACACCTCCACCCCACCCTACCCCCACCCCAGGGGGAGGAGCCTGCTGCTCTCTCCCACTTCAGGGGGTGGGGGGGATGGGGACTCTAAATTAGAATCTTATTCTGGTGAATTCTTGACACCATAATGCATTAGAAGAACCTGATTATTGCTGCTAGCTGCTGCCAAGTCGGTTCCCAACCCATGTACAACAGAATGAATTGCTGTCCAGCCCTGTGTGATCTTCATGATGGTTGGCACGCTTGAATCCATTATTGTGGCTGCTGTGTATTTTGAGTGCCTTCCCATCTAATCACCTGGAGGGCTTGTTAAAACAGATTTCTGGGCCCCATGCCTAGAGTTTCAGACTTCATAGGTCTGGGGCAGGGCCTGAGAATGTGTATTGCTAACTAGGTGATACGGGGTTGGGGGTCAGAGCTTTGAGAATCACTGGACAAAGGCAAAGGACAGCTGGTCAGGCTCAGCCAGGGACCTTCTCTCCCTGACCCCACTGTTTTCTTCCCAGCCTAGGCCTCCCTACCCCCAATGGCTAGGCATTGGTGGTTATATGCTGTGGAGTTGGTTCTGACTCATAGTGATCCTGTACAAGATTTCCAAGGCTGTAAACATTTACGGGAGCAGAAAGCCTCATCTTTCTCCTGCAGAATAGCTGGTAATTTTAAACTGCTGACCTTGAGATTCACAGCCCAATTTGTAATCACTACACTACCAGAGCTGCTTATGGCTAGGCAGAAGAGGGACTAACCTGGCAAAGAAGGGCCTGGGCCAGTTAATGAATGCTCAGGGGAAGGACCTGACCAGGAAGGAAGTTCTTGGGTAAATCCACGTCTATGGTGTGTCTTCTAAGAGATTCTGCATGTGTTCACACATGTTTGGAGAAATGCTGCTCGATGTGCTTTGTTGGTAAGAATAGAAAGTCTTAAATCAGTGGAAGTAAAGCAATATGTCTTGTCAGCAAGATAGAAAAGCAGAAATGACTTAGGGATAATAAAGAGGAAGTGACTGTCCAGTTCCAATCATCTTATGATCATAACAAGGTCCAGGACAGAAAGGAAAATAATTCATCTAAGATGAATGTCTGGGGAGGCAGGGAGTTCCCAGTGCTGCAGGGACATGGCCAGGACAGAGGTGGAGGATAAGACCATGGGATAGGATGCCAGTGTTGAAACCAGAAACAACAGAGGGAGAGTGTGTGTCTGGAATAGCACCGACCCTACCCTAGGTCTTGACCTTCTCTGTCTTTTCTCCAGGGAATGTGAGAGACTCAGCATCTGGATCTCTTCCTTCTTGCCCCCCACCCCACCCATCACACTGCCAGGCAAGAAAGGGAGGAAGTGACCCCTACCCAGCCTTCAATCTACTCTCAGCTCTTGTCTGAGAAAGACATATCTATGGATATTAGGTCCTGGTCTAAAGGTAGGGATGTTGTTGTTGTTAAGTGCCGTTGAGTCGGTTCCAACCCATAGCGACCCTGTACAGGGTTTCCAAGGCTGTAAATCTTTATGGGAGCAGAAAGCCTCATCTTTCTCCCGCGGAGCAGCTGGTAGTTTTGAGCTGCTGACCTTGTGGTTCGTAGCCTGATTCGTAACCACTACACTATCAGAGCTCCCTTAAAGGTAGGGATACAGATCTATTAGTCAACAAGCACTCTCCTACCTTGGTACCTTTATGTTTTCTGCTTGCTGTACTGAAATGTTCCTCCTCAAGGTTATGCACATGCCACCTTATCAGAGAATCCTACCCTGACCATCTAATCTAAAACATTCTCTTTTCCCTTTACATCATTTTCTTAATATCCCTTATTACCACTCCCACCGCCCCCCACACACGTATTTGTCCCCTCTCCTTCTGTAGCTCTAAGCTACAGAATGTAGCTTAAGAGTACAAGAATGTTCATAGGTTTAATTCTGGTGCCTAGGACAAAGCTTGGTGTCGTGAGTACTACATGAGGCAGCACGTGTGCCTGCTGAGCACATGTTGTTGTTGTGTGCCCTCAAGTCGGTTCCAACTCATAGTAATGCTGTATAGGGTTTCCGAGTAGCGGCTGGTAAGCTTGAACCACCGACCCTGCGGTTCAAACCAACCTTGAGGCCAAGTGCTTATCCTATGATGCCACACCAGAACACAGTAACTTCTGACAATCTTGATCACCAGTATCCAAGGGGAGTCTAAACCCTATGGTCCCTAATACCTGGGAACTCTTAATTGGTGAAGTGGCTGCATCTCTGTGCTTATAGAGAATTTGTCTGAGGAGAGATTCCTGCCCTGGAGTTTTCTGCTTTGGTGAGTCGGGGAAGTGAATGCCCTGCCCAGCTGCAAGGCAGGGCAGGCACATGCCTGAGATCAGACACACAGTTACAGGGAGGCTGACGTGTGCAGTCCACTGGGCAGTCCATGCCAGGATGACTAACTCTCCTTGCTGCTCAGTCAGTACCTTGTACTTCTGACCTTTTCAGTGTTCATTTTGCTTGTGTTCTTGGAGAGCAAGCAGCACATTGTCCTCTGGTTTCCTCTCTCTTCCCCACCTTCTCTGGCTGCCTGGCTGCCTTTCCTCTGCCCAGCCAAGTCCTTCTCCCACCTCAGCCCTCTCTTCACCTCTCCCACACTCCTGAGTTTCATTTCCTCCACACCAGGCCTCCTAATGCCCTTTGCCTTCTCTGCCTGGAGCTCTAGCTTTGTATTCCACTGGATTGCAACACTTGTTTACTACATTCTAGTGGGGCCCAGAGCCTAGGGGCTTCCCCGCCCTGTCCAGCCCTGCCCTGTGAGGCTCCTTAGGGTCATAGGTGTAATGTTTATCCTGTGTCTGCAGAAAGGGGAATCTGTCTGCATCCAGCATCTGCTGACTGGTGGGAGTGGAGGGAGGGTGGTTGGCTATGGTAAAGCTATGAATGGATGAAACAAGAACTACATATTTTTTCCTAAATATTGCTATATGTTAAAAATGTCCCCCCAACCTTCATCCATTGCTGGTGGGAATATAAAATGACACCACTTTTGTGGAAAAGAGTTTGACAGTTTCTCAAAAAGTTGATCCAGCAATCCTAATCCTAGGGTATAAACCCAAAAGAACAATCAGGAAAACAAGCAGAAATCTGTATACCAGTGCTCACTGCTGCACGTTTCACGATACTGGAAAGGTGGAAACAACCAGTTCTAGTGCAGCTGTGACAGAAATATCACAAGCGACTGGTTTTCAAAACAGGAATTGATTTGCTCACTGTTTGGGAGGGTACAAATCTAAATTGAGAGTACCAGTTCTAGGAGAATGCTTAATCTGTTTGTCAGCCCTGGGGGAAGATTCTTTTCCTTAGAAATCTTCCTGTGTCTTGGCATCAATCTTCCCCTAGGTCTAGGAGGTTATCAGAACAGGGACCTCACTCCATTCCAGGCTCTTCTTTCTTGGTGGTAGTGAGATTCCCTCCCTCCTCTGAGCACTCATTTCCCTTTTTATCTCAAATAAGATACAATGTGTGGCTCCAGCAAGGATGTGACTTGAAAAAGGAAGATGGTGACTTGAGTAAACATAGATCTCAAGATACACCCCACCACAATCCTGCCCCATTCATGGATGTTGTTGTTGTTGTGTAGTGCCATCATATGGGTTCCAATTCATAACGACCCTGCATAGCGTTTCCAAGGATGCGACATTAGCAGTTAGC